CAACTATGGATTAGTGGTAAAATTCAGATATACATGAACTTCACAAGAAAAGTTCTGAGACTTCTCCAGGCATTTTTTTTTCTTTTAGAAAAGAATGGATAAATCTCTTTCTGCATTATGTTGATCTACAAATTTTGTCCGCGAATTCCAAGTCCCATAGCAAGCATTTCCTCCTCATCCGATCTGGCTCTGCTCGTAGAAGAAGTATCATCATTCGGTCTTTGACCTCTAGAAAAACCAGGTCGTCTCCTTGCATTCACGTTCCGATTTAATCTAACACCCATTCCCGTTAATTCTTCTTCGTGGACCCCTGCACCACCCCCAGCTGCCGTTCTTTCTTCAGTCCTCCACCCGCAGCTGCAGTTCCACTGCCTCCCAGGGCTCTGAAGATAAAAAACATTTCAAGATTTGATAAAATTGTACTATAATTTGTAAGATCTTCCAGTTCAAATGACTTACCGAAGGAGGTACATATTTACTTCTGTCAAGTGACGAATCATGAAGTCTTTATTCTGCTCAATTGTACGCTTCAATTGTTTATTTTTTCTCTTCAAGCTTTTATAGCTTTTTTTACTTTGAGCGTGTCTTCGTTCTGCTCTTGCAATTCGTAGAAGTCTCGCATATTCTCTTTCAGCTTCTGCTTTTTCTTTGAATTCAGTATAAACTTGTCTCAATTCACGAACATCAAAAGAACGGTTGAGTTCCTCAAACTCAGATTTCTTCTCCGGTGGAGTAAAATCACAGCCCAAGCATCTGTTTCTTTTCCCTTTCATTGCCTGACATGCCCCACAAATAATTTCGACTGCATTCTCTCTCAAAGAGTTGAGATTCTCTGGATTTGCAGAAGCCCTCTCCATGGCTACGATCGATGATTCTTGACTATTCTTTGTTTTAAATGAAGTAAAATGATGAGAATGGTTAAAGCTGATAACTTATTTATAGTTTATAGATAACGGTTGTTCGTTTTAAGTTTGTAGCTAACTGTAAAAATAAGTTACAAAATTAAATTTAAGTATAGATTGAAAAAAAAATATAAAATTATTTTTTCTTCTGAAAAATAAAATAGAATAATATGTTTGAGCCTAAAGGTAATGCGATATATATAATAATTTTTTTTGATTAAAAAAACCCAATAATTACAGAAATACCCTTCACTCTCTCCGCCGATTTTCTCTCTTCTCGCCAAACTCCGGTGAGACAACCAAATCCACTGGCTTCCTCTATTCCCCAGCCGAGACCACCAACGAATCCCCATCATCTTTACCCTGAACGGAAAACCCTAGCCGCCGTCCTCGCTCCTCCTTTCCCTTATCTCCTCGTCTACCTCCAAACAGAACCACCGTGAAACCACCAAAGACAACGAAACGCGGCCTTCTTTCTTGCTTTTCTCCGTTGACAGCCACCATTGAAACCCCCAACATATGATTTCGTTTCTTCGTCTTCACTATATCGTCAACGAACAAGACCCCTCCACTATTGCGTCGTCCTCAACAACGAACCAGGCAAACCAGCCGTAGGGAACTCCGATACAGTGGGTTTTCTACTCGATTGTATTTCAATACTCTTTTGTTAGCTCTCTAGATTCAGAATCGAAATAGCCATTTTAAGGTTAAAAAAATCACTTCTCTTACTTTTTTGTATTTACTCATCTCATAGATCGAAAAGTTCTGTACAAATTCTTGATTGTATTCACTAGGTTAGTTTATTTATTTGCTGTTTGTATAGATGCATGGAGGTAGAATTAGGTTAATTTGATTCTTCTTTTGTGGTTGAAAAGTTTGAAATTATCAAATTTGCTAAATAATGAACTGCATTAGTCCTACCCTTTTCGTGTATTTTGTGGTAGAATTAGGCTTACTTTATGGTACTTTTCATGGCTTAGTTGTCTATGCTGGTATTTGCCAAATAAGGAACTGGATTAGCTTACTCCGAGTATTTCGGTTTAAGGCCTGGACTATGGTCTGAAATCTGCAACTTTTGTTGATGGAGTAAAATAAGTAGTACTATAGTTTAACATCCAGAGAATTCAATTGATTCGGTCGTCTTATAGCCGAACTAGTACATATACCCTTCTTTGAGACTTGTGCACATTAGCTGTTCAACTGGCGAAGTCTAGACATGGAGTCCCAAAGACTGTAAATATTCTTCTCTGTTGTGGTAGACTGGTAGTAATTCTAAATCTCATTTCTTTAATTTGGCAGAAAAAATGTTATTTAGTTCCAGTCTTATTAGAGAAGTTCTTTCCCTGAGGGCACCGGATATCTCCAATATAGTAATCAAAGTGACACATTAGGTCGACCAGAGAAAATTTAGTGGCCAGATATAAACCTATCTATTCTCATTCTAACTCCGAGACTCATTTCATTTTAATTTTGTGACTACACTATATCGAGACTTAGCTGCCCTACTGCTAAATATTTGAACCTTTTTTCTACTAAACTGGATGCAGGAAATTCCACGAGTCAATAGCATCTATATCCTGAAATGATAATTGCAGCGAGTCAGCATCAAATCTTGGTCTGTTAACGCACTTAGATATCCACTCTTTTTTTTTGTGATGTGTTAGCGATTTTCTATGTGATGTTCAACACTAAAGAGTTCAAAAATTTGATTGTTGCTTTTCTTAGCTTCTTCAAGCTGAACAAGAATTGTTTTACACCTTCACGGGCAGGTTCAGCTAAAGGCAAAACAGAAGATGTTGAAGCTTTCAAAAGAGACCTCCAGAATAAGCTAACTCAGATAGTTTCTCAGATCACTAAAGAAGAAGAGGAATACCGAGTTGAACAGAATATTCATCGGCAGGCAAGTCATTGTGTTTTTGTTAGACCAGTCTATTCTCATACCTTTGTCGTGTTGATGTTGTCTGGTGTTTTTCAGGTTGAAGAAGAATTGATTATTTTGGAAAGTAAAGCATCACCGGTAGAGGGAATCACAAAAGAAAATATGGAAACAAGAGTTAGCCAGATATCCTTGAATTTGTGTTTTTTGCTCTTCTGCTACTTAGGAAATTTGTTGCTATCTGAACCAAAATTCCTGCCATAGTAGAGAATGCTAAGCATTTCCAGAAGGTAAAAAGAACTTCTATCCAAGTACCTTTACACACGAAGTTGCAAAATCCTAAACTGCTTCAGCTTGTATATTCATAGGGATATTCATGTCTGGGGCTTATCTAATTGTTTGACAATGGACATGAACCTCCTATTGTGGAGGTTGAGAATTAGAGTGGAGGGTCAATAGGTAGTTGGGCGTATTGCTTTTCTTTTCTCTCTGTTGTTCCTTTAGCCTCTGCTATCTTATTATCTTCTTGTTGTTTCTGCTTGTTGCTACTTTCTCTTTTTTATCATTTTTAGTATCGATGGTCTATTGGAAATAACTTCTCTACCTTCCCAAGGTAGGATTATAGTCTGTGTGCACTCTACCTTCCCAACGCAGGTGTAGAGCTAACTTTTATAGTTCATTTGCATCCTTTGGCACTCTTCCTCTGTCCATTCTGTTTTTTTTTTTATTAAGACAACTAGCAATTGATCTTGAAGCATCCCAACAATATTAACTCTTTTGCTATCAACAATATCAGTACAACAATATTAACTCTTTTGGTCGTTTTGGGGTGTTGTATGTCTATTTTTTTTTTCCTTTCTTGTGTTCTTTGGCTCTTTTTTGTTTAGTTTATTCTCTTGGGTCTACTCTGTTATTTTGCACCTTCACATAATCTTGTTTTGTCTACTTATGTTTTGTGAATAATTCCGTGTAGGTGTACTATGTTGCTCATAACAAAAATTCTTGTGTTTATCTCGATGATATATTAACAAATAATAATTAGTAATTAATTTACTTTTTAAGTGAGCTATCAATTTTGATTTGCAAGTTACAATCACTTTAATAGAATAAAAAAAATTCGATCATTACTTATTCTATCTATTTTGTCAATATATGTTATTTCTTAATTTCTATTACTCTTCAAATCTCAGATCATATCAGTAAATACAAATGTGTTTGAGCACTCAAAAAAGTACTATTCAATTGTATTTTGTTTAATATAATTTGACAAAATGAGATTTGAAAAGTAATTACTCAAAATAATATCGTTTTTGTTATGAAAAATTGTATAGGTTTAGAAAAACTTTGATGAAATATGCTTTCTTCTATCTCCTTTTATGAATCTTCCTTTCAGGGTTAAAAGATTTTTTCAAGTTCCTTACTTTAACTTCTTTAAGCAAATAATATGTTGCCTTTTCAAAACTCTTCAAGAGTTTCAATTATAGTTATCAACTTGCATAACAATACTTGTATATGCTCTATGCATTTTGAATCCATTTAATCCTTATGAGGATGATAAACAAGTTTTTCAAAACCTTGTATATGCTAGATTTCGAACCCATTGGATATTTTCATATTAGTTTTGTCAAGTGACAACATTCAATATTAGATGTATGACATCTTCTAATGCCTAAATTGCAAGTCAATTAAGCTTTATGCTTATCAAGATGCACCATTCCACTTTTCACTTGATAATTATTTCTGCACCAACATGCTTTAATAGTCATAGAATTTATATCATAATAAATTTTTTCAATATTGCGTGCTATTGTATCAAAGATACCGTCAACGATATATCATTTTGCATTGATTCACAATACGACATAACTTCTCAGGAGGTTTCATAAAGTGTTATGTCGTAGGCTCTCCAAGAGCACATTATCTTCTTATTATGATCATTTTAATTCTTTCATCCTCTTCCTTTTTCAAAGATTATTTTATTTAGAATTGATTAGTCTATCATGCTTCATGCATGTCGTAGACTCTATTTTAAGGGACATTCAATAGGAGTATTTACAACTTTTGTGTTGCTACTAATCTCCCCCTTATGTTAGACAAACTAACATATATCTCAATTTTTGCAGAATCTATCCTTGTGCATCAATGTATATTCATTGATTATATACCACATATTAACATAATCAGATAAAAATTATTTGGTCCTCGACCATAAATCAATTGAAAGAAAATTTGATCATAATTTATCGGTCTGATGCGTACAATTACTTTTGTATGCAATATCGTATTTCATATCGACATATGAAGCTTTATTTTCGTAAACAGTAATTTTACTATTTGAGACATTTAGTGTCACATCATCTTGAGTATTTATCAATATTATCAAGATAAATTGTCTTGATTACATATTCTGAAATTGTGCTCTTAACTCAATTATTTTTGCACAAATAATTTTGTGAATGTCAAACTACATGTTGACAACAAATGCACATGTGATTATCTTATAAATATATCTTTTTATCATGTCACATGATAGGTGAACGGGCTCATATTCACCTTTTATACTTTTCAGAATTTAGAGATTTAATCTCAACATTAGTTGATCCAATCAATTTGTCATGAGAACAAACAACAAAAGAATTCTTGAAGAATCTTCTAGTTTTTTAATGTATGTCCATTACTCAGTATGCACATCTTTGGGATGACCAAATTATTCATGCCAACTAATAAAATTATTAGTACTTGTAAACTCCAAGTTTACTAGGCCATGTGCCTTTTGCTTTATTAAATTTCTGATTTACTATTATATGACTAAATTTCAATTTTATTACTCCTAAAGTAATTATCAGATTTATTTCTTCTCAATTACGTTATCCTTTAGGTGAGTCGTGATCCCATCATTGAATGAACTAATCTGAAGAAAATTGTGCATGTCACATATTATTTGTGCCAACATTTTTGCAAACATCAAGTTGCGAGATAATAATAGACATACATGAGACCATACAAAAGAAACATTTGTTAGGACCGTTAAATATCTAAACGATTCACTTGGTGGATGACTAGGTCCACAAATATCTGTATACGTTCCTATAACGCAAAAAATTCAAGCTCAACTTTCGTTTATGGTGGTCTCACAATTAGCTTGCCTTGCTAACAAGTAGTATAAGAAATTTCACCATTTAAAAGAATTTTTAGTTTCTTCCATTAAAGTCCATTTTAATTTTCCATAATTCGTCTAAACATTATAGACTAACGATGTCCCAGACAATCGTGTCAAACTAAGAAAGTATTGGAATTAGTAAACTTCTTATTTATCATAGAACTAGTGAATTTGACCGCGCTACGCGCGGGTTTAATATTCTGGTAAAATTTTACTTTATTTAGCAAAATTACCCAATTCCGGGTCGCGACTGGCACCCACATTTACCCTCCTATGTTAGCGAACCAACCAAATCTAAACCTTATCATTTCAACATATATCAACAGAAAGTAATGCGGAAGACTTAAACTCATAAGTAAAATCAATAATCAACTTCTATAACTCAAAACTTATCATTCCCCAAAATCTGGAAGTCATCATCACAAGAACATCTACTTCAAATTACTAAATCTAAGAGTATTCTAAAAGCTAAAAATACATAAGAAGCTAGTCCATGCCGGAAGTTCAAGGCATCAAGACTTGAAGAAGAGATCCAGTCCAAGCTAGAAGCGTTAGCTCACCCTGAAGATCCGGTGTGACGAAGACTGGCTAGAATTACTGTTGAGTTGAAGACGACGGCACGTTTGCTGCACTCCACAAATAAACAAGAAGAAAACATAAAAGTAGGGGTCAGTACAAAGCACGGGTACTGAGTAGATATCATCGGCCAACTCAAAATAGAAAACAGTATATACCAAGTAATATCATAAAATCAACTATGATACTCAACATGTAGCAACATCAAGTACTATATCATTAACAATTACCGTCAAGTTCACACATGAGGACTCAAGCCTCAATACCATACTCATTTGGGAATTAGATTCAATAGATTGAGTATATTAACATCTTTCAAGATTCATTATCTTTATTTCTCTTGTGTCGGTACGTGACACTCCGCTCCCTCATATTCATTAATCCTCTTGTGTCGGTACGTGACACTCCGATCCCCTATTACTAGGTGTCGGAACGTGACATTCCGATCCCCTAAATCTACGTGTCGATTCGTGACACCGATTTCCTAAATCTACGTGTCGGTTCGTGACACCCGATCCCCTAAATCTACGTGTCGGTTCGTGACACCCGATCCCCTAAATCTACGTGTTGGTTCGTGACACCCGATCCCCTAAATCTACGTGTCGGTTCGTGACACCCGATCCCCTAAATCTACGTGTCGATTCGTGACACCCGATCCCCTAATTCTACGTGTCGGTTCGTGACACCCGATCCCCTAATCTCATTCTATCAATTCATCAGCCTTCTCCCTTACCAAGGCATCATCAATCTCATTACTTTAGTTCATCAAGCCTTATCCCTTACCAAGGCATCATCATTAAAAAGAGATTAGGTTTTTATCAAGATTTGGGATTCAATAACTTCATCATGCTTAATATAATCACAATTATATAATCACGTTCATGCATGCATACAATTAAGCACATAGCAGGGTTTACAATACTATCAATACATATCATTCACTATTAAGAGTTTACTACGAATAACATGAAAACCATAACCTACCTCCACCGAAGATTCGTGATCAAGCAAGCAATTTCCCAAGATTTGTGTTTTTTCCTCTCGTTCGATCCTCTCTCTCGTTCAACTTTCTCTCTCTTTCTCTTGTTCTTTCTATTTTCTTTATTCAAACCCTTTTTCTTTTATCCTAATTAGTATATAATTAAGAATAAAAGATAGCGATAATAACCCACTAATTAACTTAAGGTTACCTCTTTTAACCCCCAAGTAATTAGATTTATTAACATTAACCCACTAACTTTATAATTAAGGCAAGAATAGTCAAAAACGTCCCTTAAAACGTATCAAGAAATCCGACCCAAACTGGGATTGCGCAGTCTGTGACGGCTCGTCGCGCCTGCGACGGTCCGTCCTGCTGCCCGTCACAGAGTTCAGAGACTCAATTTCTCTGAAGGGTCTGTGACGGTCCGTCACACCTGTGACGGTCCATCCTGCCATTCCGTCACGAAGTTCAGAGAGTCGATTTTCAGTACCCAATTTCAGATTTTCTAAGTGTTTTGAAACGAGACCCTGCGACGGTCCGTCGTGCCCATGACGGTCCGTCGTGGGGTCCGTCGCTTCTGCCAGTTTTTCCAGAATTGAAGTCTGCTGCTCAAAACGACTAAACAGGTCGTTACATTTTATCTCTACAAATTTACAAACCATTATTTTCTTTAATTTCCACCTTTACATAAACTTGGTAACTTTTCTTTTATCTTTTAAATATTTGACGATATTGTTATATCTCATGCACTTGTTATTTGAATTATAACTATAAAATTTTCCGAGTATATACATATTCACATACATAACTTTTCTTATTTTTATTTTTTGTAATTTTTTCTATTTTAGAAGGTCATGAATATTTCATCCCGCAAACATAGAAAAGGTGAATGTCAATTATTAAA